TGGGGGGGGGGGGGGAGTTAAGGAGAGAGAACTTAACTACTTTACTTTTCGGATGAAAATTGAAGTATTGATGATTTGGTTCACTGTTTGGTGTGGTTGGAAAGGAAGTACACGCTTCCTTTTGTTTGGAAGGATGGGAGAACTTAGGGACACACCTCCACTTCTACTCCCATTTTAGTTCACTTTTACTTCCTTTTATCAAACAAGAAAAATAACTCTTAGCTTCCACATTCACTTATTCCTCCCACCTCTCCCCAACTAGACATAGCGTACCTCAAATATGTCATGGATCATCTATGCTTTTATCCATTTCCAACTCAAGTATAAATGAAAGAGTTATCAAGTACCTAGTTTGTGCTTCTTGTTTGACTAAAATTAGTTCACATTTTCTCATGCAGTTATCTCGTGGAGGTCATTCAGTTACCCTTGCTGGGACAAGCTTAGTCATATTTGGTGGACAAGATGCAAATCGATCTCTCTTGAACGATCTTCACATTCTAGACTTAGAAACCATGACCTGGGATGAAATGGGCACATTGTAAGATGCTTTCAGGAAATTTAAGCATCTTTATTTTCCTTTATACTTTGTTTCTTGCCTGTTGAAGGACAAACCATTTGGTCTCCATCTGTGTTATGTGTCTTTGTTATAAGTTTATGCGTCTCAGAAAAGAACATATTGTCAGCCTAGCTTGCTTCTAATCTTCATAGATGCCATCTCCCGGTGTCAAAAGTTTGATAGTTTATAATTTTTAACATGTATATAATATTTTTGAGAATATGTATATAATATTCTTAATGTCCTCTCCTTGAGTGCTTCTCTCCTCTAGTGCTTAGTGGCAATATACTTTTATCAACGCGCAATATCCAAGTGGTCTTACCAATTTAAGTTACGTAAAATCCATGTTCATTTACATTGCTCTTTTCTTTTGGTAGGGGAGTGCCTCCTTCTCCAAGGTCTGATCATGCTGCTGCAGTACATGCTGAGCGCTACCTTCTTATTTTTGGCGGAGGCTCACATGCTACTTGCTTCAATGATCTTCATGTCCTTGATTTACAAACTGTGAGACAATGCATTCAGTTTCTAGCTGTTGCAAAAATGCTCAAGTGAGATTTTTTTATGTATAACTGGTAATTTTGATTTATTCTAATTTGTAGATGGAATGGTCAAGGCCTACCCAACAGGGTGAAATACCAAGTCCACGTGCTGGCCATGCTGGTGTGACAGTTGGAGAGAATTGGTTTATTACTGGTGGAGGCAACAATAAGAGTGGTATGCTTTCGTCCTCCAAGACTGTGTATGAGATCATGACAGTTTAACTTCCAAGTGCTGTTTATTTTAGGAGCTCTTTTTCCATTCCTTCAATGAGTGCTGATGATACAAGTTACAAATTTAAGTCCAAAACTGAATTATCGTTGACACGCTTACCTTCCAGGTCTTATTTAATTTTTTTGAATTGTAAAAGATCAGCTTTAATTCTCATTCTATGCCTTGATTTAATCAATACAAGCTTGTGAACCTAATTTGAAGGCCCTAATCTTATAAGAACGATTGGAGTAAAACAGTGTCTCTTTTGATCACTGAGTAAAACAATAATTGGTCAATGAGTTAAGTTCCTTCTTTTCTTAGGGGGTGGAAGAGGGTGTTTGGGTAGTTTCAGATCATTTTAATATTCACGAATCCTTCTTAGCAATTATTTTGTCTATACTGTTGCAATGTACTTCTGACGGTGCGAATTAGCCTGCATTGGGAGAATGACATTCTGGTGGTTCAAATCCTTGTTTAATTTCCATGTTAAAATAATTTTTTCAACTTTGTTCCCCATTTTAATTCACATCTGTTTTTTTTTTTGTGTGGTTCTTCCACTCTATAATTTCTCTCCGTGGAGGGAAAGGCAGAACTGGTTATTTGCAACCCCTTTTGACAATGTAATGCCATGTCGGAGGAGGAAGGGATTTCTAGTTTTCAAAACATAAATGTCTCTTATAGACTTGATTTATGGCAGAATTAGGGCATTTGTAATGCTATCAAAGGTAACAGATCAGATTCAGGATGACTTTTTTGGTTTCTCTGCTTGGTTTATATAGAAAGTAGTTTGGTCTTTGCATGAGAGAGACTAAATGAACTCATTTGAATATCTGGGTGCTGATTGGTGGTGAATCTATCAAAGAAATGAGTGGTTCCGTACTCTAACCTAGAGAAGACTATGCTATCCAGATTAGATATGCGTAGCTATTTCATGATGGTGTCATTTCTGTGATCACCTTAATGTTGCTTCAAAATGGTTATTTTTTGTGAGCCAAGCCAGCCATCACGTGTTTATGCTATTTTGGCACTCTTACACTTATTGCAGGGGTCTCCGAAACTGTTGTCCTCAACATGTCTACACTGGGTTGGTCCATTGTAACAACTGTTCAAGGGCGTGTTCCCCTTGCTAGTGAGGTATTTAATGTTCTGCATGTTGTTTTGTTTTTTAAACAACGAACAAGTTTATTTTTTCAACAATTAAGCATCTGGTTAGGTTACAAAGTTTTCACTTGTTCGATTATACTGATGATAAACTAGAAGCCATCTTGATTGGACCATCCTAATTTTAGCTTCGTGTCTGCAATATGATATGCTGATGTGTAGCCTTTTGTCATTCAATTCTTACACCTCCTCAATGTTGGAGTAAGTTTCTGTTCTCGAGGTGTGATCAACACTCTGATCAAATATGTGATATATATCAATGTGAATGAAGCACTGAAGTCTGACTTGCAGAAGATTATCTATCATAATCCATGAGCACTTAGTTTGTATGATCCCCTTCACCCCTGATAAACATTCTGTAGATGGTGGGATAAGTTTGACTAAAATCCTTATTGACCATGGTGTCATGATAGCTTAATCCTCATTAATGTTAGCAGGTCACACCTAAATGGCTAAATGGCTAAATGGCATGGTTCCATGGTACAATTCTGAATCTAAATAATCCATTCACTAAGGATGCATACCACATTGAAACGAGGCTGAAATTTGTTTGAACTCTTGATGAATTAGAGCAAGACTATTTCAGTGTTCTTGATTGCTCTATGGCCTCTTAACACATGGGACTGAAATGTATTTTGACACACTTGGGATCATATGAACTCACCATTAATAAATAACAGCATGTTAGTGTTGAAGCATGTGCAAAGTTTGAGAGCATGTATATCTGAATTATATAAATCTAATTGACTTGCCATTTAAATTTTCTTGTCAACAGGGCTTGAGCTTGGTGTTATGTTCATATAACAGTGAAGATATCCTAGTTTCTTTTGGGGGATATAATGGGCGGTATAGTAATGAGGTGAGGTTGCTAATGCTTCTCCCTTTCTTCCCGTACAGATAAACCTTTTCTGTCCGCTTTTCCACTCACAGGTTGGACGGACCTTATATGGTGGCTAGTGGGTGGTTGATTTCTCTACTCTACTTAATTTTCTTTCTTTGTGGATTACTTACTCTTTTTAAGGTCAATGTGCTGAAACCGAGCCACAAATCAACTTTGCAATCTAAGATGATGGAGACTCCTGTACCTGATAGTGTTTCAGCAGTACAAAATGCTACTCATGCCACAAGGGATTTGGAGTCAGAGACTGTAACAGGGCAAGAAGGAAATATTAGGGAAATTTCGGTGGACAACATTGAATCCGAGCCAATGGTATTATGATATATCAAATATGTTATCCTGCATATGCACGTGAATTTCGGTTGCTTTGCTTCAGGAAAAAACTTCAGTTTAGCTTTGAAATCATCTTTCTTTAGGACTAGGTATATTAGTTTATAAAGCTGGACTCTGAAATCCTGACAAGATATGTCCTCGGATTAGAAAATAAATGTGCATGCTAGAATCTAGTAGGTGAAAGGTAGATTTTCAAGTAATGAATTCAGACTAAGTGCTCAACTCTGATTGATTGAATCCGTTCAAAGATCGATCTAGCCCATCATAATTACTCTTGCTTAATTAGAATGCAATGACTATAAATTTGATTGTAACATTGTGGATATGTAGCTAGGGCGATGAAGTCCAAGTCTAGCACACTGATGAGTTTTTTAAGTACATATGCATGTGTCAGTCTGTTTGTCTATATGTGATTAAGCTAATTACAAAACAATCAAGACACTTGTGGCCATGAGAACTTTTATATGTACTATCTATTAGTAGTTGCATGTCTGGGTTATTTCAGTTCTTGGTAACATAAGTTTGGTCCCCCTCGTCTAGTTTCTTCTTTTTCCTCTATTTGATCAATCTTAACAGTCCCAAATTTCTTTTTCTTGCATCCTGCAGAGAAGAAAATTGAAGAATATAGTTCTGCTATATTTATTTATATGCGCATGACAACTGATTGTGAGGAAAAATAAAGTGTTGCCTTTGTGGTTATTTGATATAACTTTATGATCGGGGTGTCAAATAGGCGGGTTGGGCCGATTTTGGGCTGGTCAAAATGGGCCGAGTCTATAAATGGGCGGATCCTCCCAAAAATTACTTGGGTTGAGATGGACTAGGTGAAGATAGGCTAACATTTGGGTCATAGCCCAACCCGCCCAACTCTTACCAAGCTTTAATTAATATGTGTTGTTTTCTTATGAATTATATAATTACTAAATAAGACTTTTTTCCTTTTGTTATGGTCATGTATAACATATCAAACAAAAAAATTTATTTCTAAGATATTTTGGCAAAGTTACTCATAGATCAATTTGGGCTAAAAATCAACCAAACTTTAAATGGGTTGAGATGTGTTGGGTCAAGATGAGCTGAGTTCAATAAATGGGCGGGTCATTTGGGCTTGGGCCAAATTTGACAGCCTTACGTTTATGACATACAGCTTGATAAAAATAACAGAAACCTTATGACATACAAATTCTAAGTAAATGTTGCTTTATAGTCAATGAGTATGAATTGTTTCCTTGTCTTTCCCCTGGGATTTGATCTCACGTCTCATCATGCAGGTGAGCAAAGTTGAAGAAACTAGTGAACGGCTTTTAGCTGCCCTCAAAGCTGAGAAGGAAGAATTAGAGTCATCTCTCAGCAAAGAGAAGTTGCAGACGCTTCAGCTGAAGCAAGACTTGACTGATGCTGAGGCTCGCAACACAGACCTTTATAAGGTAACCACTCCTTCAGATTGATAGCTATATTTTAGAAGTATAAGCAAAAGCTTATTTCAGTTTTTGCTTCTGTTTATTTGATGGATTCATGGCTTAACATTGTTCGTCTTGGTTTAGTTCTAACTACTAATCGATATTAATTTCTTTCTACTATAGATGGATAGATTTTTATTTGTATCTTTTGGGCTTCAATGATGCTTTGCGAGTTAAGAGGTCACTCTGTCATTTATGGTTCCCTTTTGCTTAACAAATGAGGTTTTCTGGAACTCATGATTTTCAAATATTCTTCCGAAGCACCCATTTATATTTCACCTGGCTGTCTTCTATTCCTCATTGCAGTCCCTTGTGTATCTACATTAAATGCAATCTCTAATATCCAACTTTTTCCCTGAGCGAGAGATTGTACTCTCCAATCTTTTAGTCTGTCTCTTGGTAATAATAAAAGCAATTTTGACTAATGTGCAGAGGAAGTGATGTCAAGCAAAACTTTTGGCGAGCGAAAAAGATATATTTTGGCATTATGCATGTGTTTATTCCACCTTTTATTATTTGTTTTCATGTGCGATATTTCTTTCTCCTTCATGTAGAGGTTCTTAATTTGCTTTCCAACAATAGGCCCATCACTGGGCAGGATCCAACAGTAACCTTTCAATTTTGATTCTCATAATTTATGCAGGAGCTTCAATCTGTACGTGGTCAACTTGCTGCTGACCAATCAAGATGTTTTAAACTAGAGGTATGGAATAGTTAAATTACTAATAGCATGTAAGGATTTTTGTATATCTTTTTTTGTTCTTTTTAAATATCTGATCTGGAAATACAAGTGTTGTCCTGAGGTTAATGATTGCATAATTTGACTGGAAACATCTAATTTTATCAGTTTAGAAGTGTTGCAGTTGGCCTTTTTCATTTGTAGTGTTTTTTGAATTTCCCCCCCTAAACTTCTGCATTCTTATAGAGATGTTGTGAAGTGACCTTTTAAGTATTTCGTTATGTAGTCACAAGTGATTGTTATCTTCCTTCGGCATGTTGACGCAGCATTTGGCTACCCCTTCTGATTCAGTACTTGCATTCCTTTTTGGCAGTAATGCTGATGAGAGATGTTAATAGCTCCCCATGTCCCCAACTCTCACATATACTGGAGAATACAATGGCTGCGAAATATTAGAAACTTGTATCATATTATAACTAAAATATGGAGATTCACCATATGTTCTTCGCATGCGTCTGCACTTTTACACACACACACACGATACATGCATATTTCAGAGTTAGAACCTTGGAGTAAGACAGTAGTAACTGAGCATGTCAAGAGCTCAGTTAAGTCATATTTTCTTGAAAACAAGGATTGTGGTTTATCTTTCTTAACTAAGGTGGAAAGGAACTGAGTGCAAGCTATTCAACAGGTTGATGTTGCGGAGCTAAAACAAAAGCTACAGTCTCTGGAAAGCTTAAAGAAAGAACTTGAGCTACTCCAGCGACAAAAAGCAGCTTCAGAGCAAGCCTTGAATGAGAAGCGAAGGCAGAGCTCTGGTGGGGTATGGGGATGGATTGCTGGAACTCCTCCTGATCAACAAGATGATGCTTGATGCAATAACTTTGATGATAGCAAACCAGATTTTTACCTTACTTTATCCCCAAGAAAAAAGGTTTTTAATTGATAAATTTGTTATTGACATATTTTTTTTCGTTAGCTGTTCTTTTCATTGATAGAATAATATAAGAGTCGAAATTCTTTTAGGGTGGAGGGATAGTGTCTTTGTATCAGGGCACGCGGGATTTTTGTTGTATAATTATGAGTGGCTGTGAGTGCTACTTATTTTTTGGTCGAATTTTTATCAAAACTTCCAGTTTCAGAGAGATTAATGGGTGACAAAGAAGAGAATAACTTGTTATGGGCTTTCAAGTATTTACGGATTTTGTAATGTATTTCGTCTTCACTGTAGTGTCCTGGAAAAGAGTGCAAGTGCAATTATTCAAAGAGTGAAGTGTAATCCTTTTTTACCCTATGGTTATATTCGATTGTGTCTTAGTTGTCTCCTCCTCGAAAAGGAAGCAGCGTTAGTTTTTTCCTGTTCAACCTTGAAAATCGACAGACATTGTGAAGGGAAAGGATGAGACGTCATACTACGTGTAAAATCGTCAGCTATTAAGCAGATGCTGGCTAGAGTCCGAAACCTAAATGTGGTTCTTTTGAACTCAAAATACTTTTTTAAGTGTTAAAAAAAAAGTTACATTTCTATGTAAAACGCCGTTTGAACCGTTAAGGTAAAACGCGATTCATAATCGCGTTTTATATAAAATGTTCTAACACACCACGTTTTATATAAAATGCGGTAATAAACTGCGTTTTACATATTTTGTGGGTCCACCAATAATTCTTCTGCGCTTAACTGACATAACAATAATTCAAATATGTAAAATGCCCTTTTAAGCCGTGTTTTACTTCCAAAAATTTGACCCCCCGGATTGGGCATTGCCTTATATAAATTTTTCTTGTTAAATTCTCAAGCTTTTTTCATAACGTCTGAAGAGTGAAAAGTAAGGGTTTCATTATATTGGGGGAGTGAGGTTGTGGTGGCGAATAACTCGGTGAGCTATAGTTTTTCTCCACAGAGTCATGTTAAGTTGCCACTTACAATGGAGTACGATACGCTGGTATCGTTGTTATGCAATAAAATGAGGTTGAGCAAACGTTCGGTGAATCTTAAAACAACCGGAAGATATCCGTATTTTGTGACTCCGCAAGGGGTTGCTTGTTACGCTGAGTTTAACATCGAAGATGAAACTCTGAGAGATTTTTTGGGGACTTCGGATGAATACAAGGAATTTATTATGATAAAATTGTTGGAAATGTACGTCAAGGCTGAAGACATTCGCAATAATGAGGTTGCGCAAAGCAGGGATAACCCTCAATCATCGGGTGGTTATTCTGGAGCAGTTTTAGCCCAACAGCTTCCGGTTGAAAGAGTTTGGCCGGATCTAAACTTATCTCCGCGGGCGAACGAGGAGCGAGGAAATAATTTCTCTCCTACTTTACATAATCCACAAGACGACTGGTAAACTTCAATTTTCCTTTGTGTTACGATGTTTATTTTTTGTTGAATTGAATTTGTATTAAAACTCATATATTCTACAAGGGGTACCGTTCGGATATGAATTTTACAAGTTATGACCCCACGCCCAATTGGAATATGCGTAGTTTTGGATCACGGTGGTCCATCTGGGAGTCATCACCAACAGAAAAATGTCCATCATGGAATGTCAAAATAGTACGACTTGTAAGTAAAGTGATATAACTATATGTAAAGTATTTATCAATTTGAGTAGCTTATCATTTTGTTGTTTGTGCAGTGAAAACGAGCAACTTGATGGTCCTGACCTCACTCAGTTTCCCGTAGACGATGTATTTACTCGGAATTTGGCAGATGCGCAGAGTCAGGAAGATAATGGTGATTTTGACAATAATGCCGATGAGTCTGGAGATGACACACCCTTCCCTGACGAGGGTGATGATGAGTAGGAAGTGAATGTCGAATCTGAGCTGACGAGGGAGCATGCTCCTCCACCTCCCGTTAGACCAAGAGTGTACGAGTACCACGTGCCGTTTCATTCAAGGCATATTCTCTACCTTGATAATTTGCCAAGTATGCTGGATGTGGATGCCCTCACAAGGGATGTTGACGAAATTCGGTCAGCAATGTGGGATGAGTCTAGACCAACGGTGCTGACAAAGGGCATGTATTTTTCCGATAAAGCTCGTCTATCCAGGGCTTGTAAAATGTACAGCGTTAGAGAGTGTCGTGAGATGACAGTATGAGAGTCAACTCCGGAGGTATACAAGGTCGTATGTCGTAGATACTTTATAGGTTGTAACTGGATGTTGCTTGCGAGCAAGAAGGAAATAGGATTGTGGAAAGTGGGTAAATATATTAGCACTCACGTTTGTGAAATAGACACATTCAATGAGAATCACTTCAACTTGGATGTTGACTTGATTTCTTTTGTCTTGATTCCACACTTGGAAGTGTCCATTAGGTACAAGATCAAAGAGTGTATTACATCCGTCCACCAGTAATATGGGTGTACTATTACCAAAAGAAAGACATATCTCGGGCGCAAACGTGCATTTAAAATTATTTATGGTGACTGGGATAAGTCATTTTCATCTCTGCCCAGGTACATGGCCGCACTGAAACAATTTAACCCCGGAACTATTGTTGAATGGAAGCATGAGCGGAGTCCGAAAATACCGGAATATATATTCAGATACGTGTTCTGGGCATTTAAACAAGCAATTGATGGTTTTGTGCATTGCCGTCCTTTAATTTCCATAGACGGTACTCATGTCTATGGAAAGTATGATATTAAGCTGTTGATCGTCGTTGCAGTAGATGCCAATGGACAAATATTTCCACTAACTTTTGCCATTTGTGCCAATAAAAGCGAAGAGACGTGACGCTATTTTTGAACCACTTGAACTAGCACGTTGTTAAACAACATTCAGGTATTTGTCTAATATCTGATCGGCATAGTGGTATTTTAAGTTCTGTACAGCATTTGCCTGAATGGCAGGAACACTATGCATACCACTGTTACTATGTGAGGCACCTGAAGGCCAATTTTCAGAAGAAATATCCTAACAAGGACTTGCATGATTTAATGTGGATGGCTGCAACTGATCACCAGTAGTGCAAATTCAGGAGGCATGTTGTTGGAATGCTCGTCTGGCTGAGGGACGTAACCTGGGAGATCAGCTCCAACATCCTCATCAGGTGGCTCAACAGGTGCCTCAACACCCCTTGCTTGGGACCACCTCCTCGCCAGCCCCACAACCCCGTGGGGCACCCCTTCCTTGTGGGACAGCCTTGCCTCGTTCCCGTCCCCTCGCGCGTGCTACAGGCCTACCCCGATGGTAGTTCTCTGGTACTACGTAACCAGGCTCATGCTCTAAGCGCTCGTCCTCTCTGGCTCGCTGCAGTGTCCGGGCAGCCAGCTTTGTAAACTGTGGGCCAACTCCTGCAAAGCCACTGCAGGATCGCTGGCATGCTGCTGCATCTGCAGTCCCAACTGGTGGACTAAATGTAGACCAATAGCCTACACAACATGTAAAATATAAATTACAGAACGTTATATCACAGTTATAAGTAAGAATACCAAATAACATACCAGTGCCTCATGCCTCCCGGCGTATGGAACGTACTGACTGCCAACTCGGTGAATGGGGTTCTCGATGAAAAGTCGGGTAACACCGCAGTACCAGGGCATATAATCATGCTTAGTATCCTCCCGAGTTGGTAGAGGGGGAGGGAGAGGGGGAGGGGGGAAATCAGCTCTAATCGCTGGTCCCAAGTAAACATATGAGCTTGTAGCCATGCCAAAAATGCGTCGTCCACCCTGGTACAATCATCCCGTTGGTAATGTGTAGCCTCCCAGGTGGTCACTGTCGGTACGAGCTGCGGCCTGCCAAACTGGCGAAGTACCCGCTCGATGGCATGATGCTCCACAATATAAAGGCAGATCAACGGGACGAAAAAGCCCCATATATCACGTCCGACCGAGAAACAATCGGGCAAGTCATCTATCAGCACGTCATTGTATGGCGTCCAGATGAACTATTTAGGAAGAACACAAAACGTCAGTATACGCAACTTCTGTTTGAAGCAATGACAAGTAAACTTAGATATACATTTACGTTGCACCATCCTGTAAATCCAATATATCCCTGCACAAGGAGAGATTATATCGAGCCTCGTACTCACATGTTTGTCCCCACCGGAGTACCAACCTCCTAGATAGAGGGAGCAATGGAGGTGGTACATCCGGAGCTAATGGTGGTAGAGGTGGCTGCAATTGCAGGAACCGCTCCGGGGCCTTAAAAAGTTGACGTAAAAATTAAGATATATTTTTACTAGGTATGTTAAAATGAATAGAGTATTCGAATATGTTGTCACCTGTAGTAGCGGCAAGAATCTAGCAACCTCACGCTGGGTGCCCATGTTCACTCGACACATGCATCTGTACAAGTAGGCGAGAATAGCAGAGCCCCAGCTGTACTGGGATAAATCATATAGCCGCTCAAGATGAAGAAATCTCAAGCTTACTAGGTTCCCCGAAGTGTTCAGGAACAAGAGCCCTCCAAACAACAGCAGTAGCAGCAACCTCGTATACTGATCAACATGATCATCCGGTGTAGTGCCATCAATCTGAGGATACAATGCCTCCAACCACAGTCGAATAGTCGTCAACAGAAAATGATAGTCTCATCCTCTGGACGGAAACCGGTGAGCCGCTATAGCATGTCCAGATACTGCACACGTGTCATCTCTCTCATGCCATCTGGCAGAGCAATGGGCAGTCCATCAACAGGAAGCCCATATAAAACCTCCACGTCCTGCAGTGTGATGGTAGCCTCGCCAATATGCAGGTGGAATGTGTGCGTCTCTGGTCGCCACCACTTTATCATGGCCGTGACCAAAGACCAATCGAGCTGCAGCCGCCCGATCTCAATCATCCTGTAGAAACCTGTGTCCCGCAGGCGCGCAACTACACGATCATGGAGATCTCTAGCATGCAGAAAGTCCCACATGTTGTCCACTCTCCTGGCGCGGAGAGTCTGGGTCAGTAACTCACCCTCCTATATGTGGGCAGACCTATGATCGCCCTGTAACGAGAGTAGCACATCGCTGGAAGGTCCGACGAATAGGCAGCACCTCCATGTCGTCTACTGTAAATTAAACAACATTAATTATATGTTAGTTTTATAATTTAATATGTTAGTTAGTAAATTAAATAATTATTTTTTATAATTATACAATATTTAATTATGATGTATTCACATAAGGGTTCCAAGCTAGATATTTGAGGCCCAGTAGCACCAAGATATCCTAAATTCTTCCATGCGTTAGTTTTATTATAATTTTATATGTTAGTTTGTAAATTAAA